AAAAAACCAAAACCTTGGTATCAATATAGAGTTAAATAATGACCTGGTAGGGACTTCTTTAGTGACGTAATACAAGTAAACAGGGCCATCTGCCTCTGTGTTCTTCTGGGCATGAGCAACTGAAAGGTGGCCCCTTAGATGGATCAGGGGCCTCTTCCCCCCAGGGTATGGGCACAATAGCTCTGGAATGGGATCTAGCACAATTCTAGTTATATAAGCTCTCTAGCTTAGAACAAGAAAGCCTGAGAACCAGCCCTGCTGACAGTTACCTTCATAGCTGATCTTCAGGACAGAGGTTAAGTTGGAAGACACACCTACACCGCTCCATTAGACTCACAAAGACCTGAAAAGGCCACCCTGTTTCCTTAAAGCCACATATCGGGCTTTCCTCACAGAACGCCAACAGCAATTCTGTGGTAGGCTAGAAATACAGGGAGCATGATTAAGGGGGCATGAAAAGAATCAGGTGCTCCTCACTCTGAAGTCTAATTTGCCTTCCCTACTGACTGAGGGTCAGGAAAGTTCAATATAACTAACAAAGCCAAAATTGCCCATAGAAATAATCACATTTTTCTAAGGATACCTCAAACAAGGATGTTAAAAACAAATAAACTAAAATCCATCTAGGGCCAGAATGTTTGAAACTTTTGAGTTTTACTTTTTAATACATACCTTTCTCTTGAATCTAAACTATGTACCTCTTAAAAACCCTATTTCATTTACAAAAGGAAAATCTTTATGTAAGAGAAATAAGTAAACCTACCTGTGTATTTTTACTTGTTTTTGAAACTTTACTTAAATTTTAAGCTTTGCTTAATCTTTAACCTTGTCAGTTACAAGCTTTGAGTAATACATACTAACTTAAATGTAGCCAACTGTGACTCTTGTGAAGCCCTCCCTGTACTGAGTGTACATCATCCTTTCCCTAGGTCTCTCGACCTAAGTACTTAATAAAACTCACTAACTTTGTTTCACCCTGGCCCTTGACGCTCTTTTCTGTGGCCTTGTTCAGGATCCAGCTTAGGTGAGTAGATCACAGAGGAAAGGGAGATCCTGGGGCTCTGGGAGGCAGTGCCAGCTGCCGGTGGCAGAGCCAAGCACATGTAGCTGCTGGGAAAAATGGGCGGCTTCCAGGCTACCACCTTCCTTCCCAGATCCCTCAGCTGAGAACAGGAAATTCACTTTATATCACACTATTTTTATCATCCCTGATGGGGTCATGGGAGTGGCACTTAATATAGTCCTATTTAAAATGATGAAAGGACAGAAAGTATTCATCCCTTTGAAAGTGAGGTGTCCCTAGTGGCTAACATGCCAGACTCAAGACAGGGGACCCCTGGTGAGAGACAGGCCCTGCAGGACAAAGGTCCATCTGACAGGCCCTGGGAAAGGCTGATCTACAGCATGTAATCATTTCTCTGTCCAGGCTTCTACAACCCTTGGTCTCTCAAAATGTTCCTGAAAGTATGCTCTTTTAGGAAAAGGATCTTAATGATAGACATCTCTTGTGCCCTCTTCCCAAGCAAAGGTGAGGTAGTCAGGAAAATCAACCAGAACAGTGTGGTCTAGACTGACTGTCCTCCACAGCTAGGACAAATGAGGTCAAGCTGGATGCTGTTCTCAGCATCTCCCACTGACCTGTATGGCAGCAGTCTGGCCATGCCAGGGCTCAGAGGAGGCCTGTGGTAGGCAGAGTATCATGACTGATTTGGAAACTGAGCATCATTTCAGGGCTCTGTGCCTCTGACCCTAGTTGAAGGCCACCGAACTAGCCTTGATGACACAAGACTGTGAAGACCCTGGGGAGAGGGAAACCATTCTGCCTAGTATTTTAGGTAGTAGTCACTTAAAGCCTAAAGAAAGAGGGTACCATGACACCCAAAAAGGTGTCTCAGATGGAAGTAGGGATGCAGGAAGTAGAGGTGACTGTGCCTGTTGAGGAATGGCAGGCGGGAGCTAAGTGTCCGACAGCAAGCAAACAGCCTTTATCACTCCATGAGATGCTCAAATAGCTGACGAGGGCATAAAGCTGGTGAGGAGGGATATGAAGTTCAAGCAGAGGATTTAGTCCTGCCCTAGTTCCCATGGAAACATCACTGCCAACCATCGCCTTTCTGAGCGAGAGTCCCTGAAAGCAAAGAAGACTGCAGAGGCCTTAGCAGGAGGGGCAGACAGTGGGCAGTGACAGTGGCACAAGAGGGCAAGAATGCAAAAAGGGCTTCAGAGTCCCAAATGTAACTCGAGTCAAGTTTTGCTACAAGGATGTATTGCTTATTAAATATAGTTAGTCTCCATGCTTAATTTTTAACACACTTCAATGAAGCTGGATTCTTTTCACTGAAAGCAATACAGGTTAACTAAATAATAAAACCTCACACGGCCCTTAACTTGGCATAGTTTTCCCTATATTCAGGCCAAGAACTGGGAAGAAATAGCCTTTGGCATCCTGAATTCGTAAGTCTAAATATAAAATGACAGCAACAGCCTCCATTTTGCAGTAACTAGAGAGTACCCCAGCAATAGCCTCCTCTAGGCAAAGCTGTTTCCCTGTGATGAACCATACTGAGTTGGCTTTCAAGGAAGGGCCAGGCACTCTCCAGAGAATATGGGTTGTCAGCCTCCTTCTCTACCAAGGAGGGGTACAGTTCCCCACTGTCCAGGCTCCACCTTCCTGGATGGCTCCAGCAGTGTGCCCGTGGCTCCCCTCCAGGTCAAATGGTGAAGAGAGCGAGCAGCAGTACATTTATCCTCACAGCCTATGAGAACTCCTCTTAAGAGCAGAGGGCTGTATGTATATCTGAATTCAGAGAGAAAGCCATCCCTGTCCCATATCAGATTCCAGGGTGAGACAAGAGCTCCTACAACTCAGGAATCAATCTTAAGAAGAAGAGAGAAGACCTGAGACCCATCCCTTGAGTCAGATCAAAATACAAGACAGAGAGGAAGGCATGGCTGCAGGCTGAGGGTGGGGAGTACGGATAAGCTAGGAGGGGACATACAACAGTGCTGCAAGCAGCGACTGACTCCGTGAGAGGGGAAGTCAGGATGGGGAGCCCAGACAGACGGGGACTGCTGGTCAGCTTCAGAGTAAGTCATGGTCGCTCGTCTGTCCAGTCTTCCTTCTGGATCCTTGAAGGAGGTGGGAAAGCATATCCACCCCCAGGGTATAGGGCAGGAGGTTTCATGAAGCAAGAAGTCCTGGGAGTCTCCTACTACTGCCCCAAGTCAACCTCTTGAGGGTGGGTCGGCCTACTTTCTCACGGGAGTTTTGAGTTTCTTTTCTTGGCAATTTCTGCCTCTGTGGGCCTGGTCACTATTACTTCCAGTACAGCTCTTTGCCATCTACAACCCTGAAACCTTGCTTTCCATTTCCATTACCTCCTGATGCTGTGTCTCCCAGTCTGGTCACGGCACATAGCGCTAGGCTGTATCACAGCATGTGATGGTCCAACAGCACCCTGGACCTGGTTTAAAACCCCAGCTTCCAGCTCGTAGGTCAGGAAATGAGAGTATATGAATATAGAAGTTAGGCAGTGAGCACAAATCGCTCAGCCTAATGAGTATAGGGGTCAGCCCAGTTCTGGATTCTACTAATGTCAAAGCCTGCAGCATGCTGGAGACTCTGGGATGGCCAGGGCTAGGTTTATATCCTTGGAGCTAGCTAGCATTGTGCAAGGCCCATCTTTGAAATGAGATAAACACTTGTGTGATGTTTGAATGTGTAAATTTTCTTGCTAGAGTGTAGTTTGTGTCGTTCCCCCCACCACCACCACCACCACCAAAGGTCATCAGTTCAAAGAACGGTCCTCAGTGTAGTGATGTTGGGAGATGGTAAGGCCTAGTGGAAGTTCATGATCAGTGCTGTCCTTAGAAGGAATTAAGGTTAAAAACCCCTGAGTTAGTTCTCCTCAACAAAAGTTGTCTTTAAAGCTGGATCCTAACCTTGAACCATTACATTTTTTCCTATCTAGCCATGTGAGCTCTTATTCATTCCTATGCATGTTCCCACCACTGTGGGGCCATCTACCATAAGGCTGTTGATAGCATCATGACCTTGAACTTTGAACTAAATAAACCTCTTTTCTTCACAAAATTATCCAACCTTGGGTATTTTCTTACAATTAAAAAAAAAAGTGGCGCACAAAGGTGGTGGGGGTAGATAATGTTTCCTGACATAAACTTATCATGGGAGGAAGCAACTGGCCCCAGGACAAAGATCTTCCCTTCCTCCTGCCTCTTCCACAAGAACATAATAGCCTTCTCAGAACACTGCTATCAACCTATTACCCCTCCCCCAACACCACCTCCCACAAACCCTTGCTTGTTCCAGGCTTCCAGGACCTGTTTCAGGTACCACTCACAAATCCTCTGGTCTGGACAGGCACTTCATCCTCATCTCCTAAATGAGTCTTACATGGTGCTACCCTGTGCCTGTTATTGGCACAGCTCTCCCTGTTCTAGCTATCTGGATCCTCTCTATCAAGAAGGACCTGACTTCTTCACTCTGCTCTTCACCTAGCTCCCAAAATTCTTCCCAACTCTCAATAGCAGCCCAAGAGCGTTACCTGGATGCCTTCTTAGCTGACTTCCCACTGTCACTCCCGTCTCATGTTCTCTAATTTTCCAACTACATGAAGGTCTCTCTTTTTGTTTTTAAAACCATTTATTTATTTTTATGGATAATAGTGTTTGCCTGAATGTATGTATGTATACCATGTATATGTCTGGAGTCCATAAGAAAGTGATGGATCCCCTGGAACTAGATTTACTGATCATTGGGAGCTATCACATGAGTGCTGGGAACCAAACTGAAGTCCTCTGTACGAGCAGCAAGTGCTCTTAACCACGGAGCCATCTCTCCAGCCTCCATGTTACTATCTCTTTCTGGTAGCAACCACTAGTTCTGTTTGTATCTCCCCATGGCGACTCTCTCTGCACATCCCTGTGGATGCTACTGGACCTCCCGCACCCTATGACCATCTCCATGGAAACAGTCTTACCTGTAGTATCTGGATTGCAAGTAGGTAGAGCAGACGGCTTTGGACACGTGACTGGCTGAACCGAAGTCAATGACCTTCACTCGGTATGGCTGTCTGGATGGATCTACCAGCATGATGTTCTCTGGTTTGAGGTCAGCATGGATAAGACCCAGGCTTTTGAGTTTCATCAGGGCTGTAGCTACCTGCTGGAGGACTGGGCGAATGTACTTGAGGGGCAAGGGGCTAAACTTGTTCTGTTTCAGAAAGTCATAGAGGTTCTGCTCCAGCATCTCAAAGACTAAGCACGTGTGGTTCTTGTGTTGGAAGCACTCATAGGCCCGCACAAAGTTGTAGTCATCGGCGCTCTCTGTGCTCAGCCGGGCTAGGATGCTCACTTCAATCTGACCTTGTCGGGCATAGGAAGGGTGGTTCTTTAGGATCTTAATGGCCACAATTTCATTGGTGCCCCGCTTCCAGCACTTGACCACTTGTCCAAATGTCCCTCTGCCCAAAAACTCTAGAACCTCATAGGTGTTGGTCATGGAGCACAGCACTTCATGCTGTACCAGCTGATAGTCACCTTCACTGTTGGAGCCACTGTTTTTGGAGGTGGCAGTGGATGTGGTGGCAGTAGCTACAGTGGCCCCGCTGGCATTATTCTGAATCATGGGTGGATGCTCTTCAATGATCTGCACGCTGCTTGTGTTCTCAATCTCCTCACTCTTTCGCTTGAGTCCACATTTTTGGTAGGTGTCAAGGAGGCTCACAGTGCTTCGACGCATTAGGTTATGTGGTCCGCCGAGGACTTGCCCGGTGACAGAAGTGCTACTTGCTGACGTTACAACTATGTGTCCAGTACTTCCTGGGAAGATGATGGTCTGCTCGTAAGGTAGGCTCGGGTTTGGGATTGGCAAGGAGGTGCTGACGGTTGTGGAGGCTGGCTGAGAAGGTGGTATGTTCTTGCTCTGGCTGTACGCTTTGCTGTGGGAGCCGTACCCAGTCATGTCCCAGGTGGAACTCGGCTCTACTTTCAGTTTCTTCACACTACAGAAGGCACTTGATTGAAGGGTGTGAGGGGAGAAAACTTGTACATGTGAGGCCATACCTATGAGGAAAGAAAAGGAAAAATACATATTGGAGTTACTCTTCCATGAATAAACTCCATTGATTCATTTAGGCTCTAATCAGATTGTTCTTCTACTTCAAAAGCAGCTTGAGGACCGGGGAGATGGATTAGTGGGTGAAGTATTGCTTTGAAATAAGTTCAGATCCCCACAACCCATGAAAGCTGGCACAGACACATGTACCTGTGATCCCAAAGCTCCCACAGCAAGATGGATGACATAGACAGCAAACCATCCGGAAGCGCATGGACTAGCTAATCTGGCATATGCAGCAATGAACAAGAGACCATCTCTCAAACAAGGCCAAAGGAAGAGCTAACACCAAGTGTTGTCCTCTGGCCTCCACACATTTCTTGTTCTGCATGTGTACACACGAGCACATGCACACATATGCATGCATAATGACTTAAAATGCAGCAACTTGAAAAAAACAAGTCAATTTCACTCAGAAGCACATTCTAGTCTCCTTGTTTGTGAGACTAATGGTTCCCAGGCTCTGCCGTTAGACCTACCAGCCTTAGCAGGATAGGAGACACAGGAATAGAGTCAAGAATCAGATACAGAACTGAGACTTAGTTCACCATTTCTTTCTTGTAATTATACTTTCCAGCAGAAACAAATTCTTCATTCCTATTCACGTTGCACCCTGCCAAATCTGAAGACTGTATCCAGTACCCAGGTAAATATTACAGACTTAGCTCCTCCAAGTAGTCAGCTTACTTTTCTCAATAGAATCTAATAGCCAGGTTTACTACTTTTTGTTTGTTTGTTTGTTTGTTTGCTTGTTTGAGACAGTGTTTCTCCATGGAGCCCTGGCTATCCTGGAACTCACTCTGTAGACCAGGCTGACCTCGAACTCACAGAGATCCGCCTGCCTCTGCCTCCCGAGTGCTGGGATTAAAGGCGTGCACCATTACCGCCTGGCCAGGTTTACTACTTTTAAGAAACATATTCCCACACAAACCCCATCACAGGGGCCTCTCATGGTCTTCTGTGTTCTGAATAAGACATACTACCTACCACCTGGCATCCTGGTCATCTTGAATTCTATAAGGTTATAGATGGATGATTTGGTGTTTAGTTGGCTTAAAACATGCATCGCCTTTCAGACTGGTCTAGTAGCACCATTATGGGCTCCTTGCTCACCTATTTTGTCAGTCTGTACATTAATAAATTTCTCTAGAAAGTCCTGAGATTTCAGATGCTGCGAAGATGGCTCAGTCTAGACGAAGTGTTCACAATGCAGGCATTAAGGACTGAACATGATTTCTAGCATTGACAGACAGACAGACATAGACACAGAGAGAGAGAGAGAGAGAGAGAGAGAGAGAGAGAGAGAGAGAGAGAGAGAGAGAGAGAGAGAGAGAGAAGTTAGGCGTGGCTTTGCCTACCCAGCACTGAGGAGGCAAAGATGAGTGGATTCTTGGGTCTTGGGGTTTATTGGCAGCCAGTCTAGCCTTATTGGTGAGGTCCAGATTCACTGACAGAACTCATCTCAAAATAATGTGGAAAGTGATTAAAGAAGGCACAGATGTCAACCTGTGCCTACACACACACACACACACACACACACACACACACACACACACACACACACAGTGGAATCTGAGAGAAAGAACTATGTTCATACTGACATATCTACAACCTAGATAATCTTTCTAGAGTAGCTATATAATTTATAATTGTGGTAATATTGGAAAGTTTTTAAAATGTGATATGTGTATATATGTATGTATGTATAAACATATAAAGGAAAAACCACTACAGTGACAAGAAAGGGAAAACCCTTAAAGGTACAAGAAGAAACAAATACCAATTACCTTCTAAGCTGCCCCTGATAACCACTGTGTGTGTGTGTGTGTGTGTGTGTGTGTGTGTGTGTGTGTGTTCACGTGTATACATATATCTGAGTGTGCATGCATATGTGTATAGAGACCAGAGATTGATAACAGTGTCTTCCTCTACCACATTATTTTTGGAGACGAGTCTCAGTGAATCTGTGGCTCACCAATTCAACTAGACTGGCTAGCCAGCAAGCCCCAGAGATCTTCCTGTCTCCACCTCCCTGGTGTTTGGTTTACAGACACTTGGCTTTTAGGTGAATGCTAAAGATGGAACGCAGGTCCTCACGCTGTGTCATGTGTCATACTGAATGAGCCCTCTTCCCACACCCACCACCACTTCTTAAAAAAGCAGTTAGAAAGTGGACGGTCTGTCAAGCTTTCCTGATACTTAACCATCTACCTTCAGCTGCTCTTACCCCCAGCATTATCTAGATTGATTATTTAACATCTACATCCCCCTCAGCATTATCTAGAGTGATTACTTAACATCTCCCTCTTAACCCCATCCCTTGTCCACGATCCTCCCTCTCTTCAGCAGATTCGCATCTTCTTTTTTGTCCAGAACCCCAAGGTCAGTCTCAGGTTCTGATAGTCTCCCATTTTTCTCTAGAATCCTGTTTCTGCCATTCTTTTTCCTTGAAGCTATTGATTTTCCCAGTTTATTGGATAAAAGTCTTTAGCTGGTACTAAATAAGGTTGTCCAAATGAATCATTGCCCTAACCTCTCCCTTCTGCCTTCAAGTGTGAGCATGCATGCACAACCTTCCACCCTGAAAGGCAGGAGGAGCAACAGTCATGGCCCCTCTTCACTCTTTCCTTCTTACCTGTAAATCGACGCTTGCTGTACTCTTTTCTTCAATGCTCACTCTAAGTCCTCTCCCCCAACATATTCCAATACCATAGACCTGTGTTCATCAGGTACATAACTACCTAATTGCCTAATCAGAGGCCCTTTCAGCCCTACTCTCCTTCACCTCTCTGTAGCTTCTGACATTGCTGACCACCACTTCCCTCTGGGTGCTCTTATCTACACTACTGTGAATCTGTAACTGCCTACCTCCTCCCCATGGCTCATTACACAGGGCTAAGGCAGTTCCTCCTCTTCTTCCTTTACAATGCTGGTGCTTCCAGTATTCTGTTTCCTCTGGAAGGCATCATTCATCCAGACAGTTTAAGAAGTCATCTCTATGGAGGCAACTCCCACATGTTTATCATGGGCCAAGTTCCCACTTGAATGTTCCACCAATAAATTTCTGTCTCCTGCTACATCAAAGATGATCTTCCAAAGCTGAACGTCTTGTGTTTTCCCAAAAACATAGCCATCTAATCCTGCATTCTAACATTTCCATTTCTGTTAATAAAGTATTTATCTAGTTACTTAGTTCCCAAACTGTGGATTTACCCTGGTAAGTCTTCATTACCTCAACAGGCAAAAGATACTCAGTCTTGATAGATTCCTCCTTCCTTTAAAATGGCTTTTTTTTTTTAATTAAAAAGTATTTAAATAACCATATAGGGCAAAATGTCTCTTGTATCCAACTCTTTAATTCCTGTTCTTTTTGCCACTCCCAAGTTGAAATTATTACTTTTCTTTTCTTTTCTTTTTTTTTTTTCCCTCCAAGACAAGGTTTCTCTGTGTAACAGTCCTGGCTGTCCTGGAACTGCTTTGTAGACCAGGCTATCCTTGAATTCACAGAGATCCACCTGCCTTTGCCTCCCAAGTGCTAGGATTAAAGGCATGAGCCACCAACCCCCAGCTGAAATTATTACTTTTCAAAAGAAACCCTAAAGTAAATACAGAAACCTGTTCTACCTGAATGATCTTTAATGTGCCTGTATCTGACCACCAGATTTGTCTTACTACATAAACCTCTGAGCATTGTCCATCTGTCCAAAGTTCCTGGTGGCTCCTTAGTATCCAGAAGATAAAGCTGAGGAGACAACATACATCTTGATTCCAAACACCTGCTAGCTTCATTTCCAACCATTAATCTTCCAGAGGTCTCGACTCTGACCTGGTCCCACACATCTTCCTAGAACAGAACGCCTCCTGTACTTGCCTCATTCACTCTCAGTACATTGGCCTTCTGGCGTGAAGTCACTGCTTCTCTCAGCTATCCCAAAGATCATGCAGTTTAGAGCCCTACGCCTGAGTTTCTGAGAGTCTCATGTAGTTCAGGCTGGCCTCAAACTTACTATATAGCCAAGGATGAACTTGAACTTCTGATCCTCCTGCCTCCATCTCCCCAGTGCTAGTTAGGATCACAGGTGTGAGCCACCGTATGTGGCAAGCAGTTTCTCTCTTATACTATTTACACGTTTAAGTCATGTTTCCACAACTAGACCATATTCTGGCACCAAGAACTACAATTATACCTCACATACCTTTGTTTCTGCCTCCGACTTCTTCGTGTCACGCTTACAGTGCACAGTGACCACTGCTGACTGAAGACAGCCTGTGACTGCTTTGTCACCATCACACATATCTAAAGAAGCAGGCCTAACTTGAAATTAGAGGAGAGTCTGCCAGTGTTTCTCTATCCAAATACAGATTTCTAAAACGCAAGAGGGAGAGAGGACCAGGTATGATGGTACATGACTAAACTTCCAGTGCTTGGAAGGCTAAGACAGGAGATTTGAGAATTTGAGGCTATTCTGGGCTACACAGAAAGACCCCAACTCAAAACAAACTAAGACTCTAAAATTAAAAAAAAAAAAAAAAAAAAAAGCAATACCAAAGCGGAGGCTAGTCAGCTCCTATCCTGGGCTGGAGAGTCACGCTCTGCCATGCTCCAGCCACACGTGCTCTGACTTCTTGGAGGCAGGTCTGGGTCTAACCCGAAATCCTACTCTGAATTTGCCTTTACTGTGACCCATGGGTCAACAGACATTTCCCTTCTGGTTTGAAAGCTGAATCCAACCTTGACCTGGGTACAATGACTAATATGTCTGTATATGCCTGACATGATTATCTTGGTTTGTTATGCACTCATATTTTCATCTCCTTTCATGTTAATATCTTCCTAATACTACAAATATAGAAAGTGGCTATTCTCTATTTATTAGTATCACTTAACTATTCATATAGCTATAAGTACTATAAACCAGACATGTCCAACCTATGGGCCACAGGCCTC